ACTCCAAACTCCCTGCACAAGAGTGACTGATGAAGGAAAAGCTTTCAAATGCCCAAGTCAGTCAGCATCAAGTTGACATTAAAACATCAAATTGATATTAAATTGATATTAAATTGATACTAAATTGATATTAAGTTGATATTAAATTGATACTGAATTGATATCAGTGCAGTTCTGCCCAGACCATTCCCCTGGAGAGGTCAGGTCTCCCCAGGCTGGAGGAACAGCTGGTGAYAAAGGACTTGGTGACACAGCAGCAGTGACTCCCCTCCTGTAAATGACATTTGTTCAAACCTGCTGCTCTCCTCACATTCCTGCAGTGCCCAGGGAATCAGCCCAGCCCATATAAAACCAGCCTTAAACACTACTGTCTGTAAGATGAGGCACTTCTGAAATCCTAAACCTTTTCCACCMAGGGCAAACCATGCTGTGGGCAAGGGCTGGCTGCTTTCTGATTTCCTCTGACCCTGTGGAGGTTTGAATGCACATCCACACCCTCTGAAGATTCACTGAATAAAAGCTCTACAGCTTTTGTAAAGGTGAGCTGAGAAGCAAATGCACCAACAGATCCTGTAATTGCTTCTGAAGATGAAAAACAGGGAATAAAACTTGTTTTCTGAAGTTAACTCTGCTGGCTTCCAGGGCCAGCCAGGAAGGCAGCACTGAGTGTCTTGGAGCTGATTGTCAGACATTAATAATAATAATAATAATAATAATAATAATAATAATAATAATAATAATAATAATAATATAGTGCCATTTGTTGTGGAAAACCCAGATCCTGGCAAAGATGGATCCTGGCTGGATGGATCCCATCCAGCTGTGGAGAGGGACCAAGAGCCAGACAGGTTCCAGGGGTGAGCTACAGCTTTGAGCACTTYGGCAAGAAACTGTGTGTGTGTAAAAGTTGTGTGTGTGTGCAGAGCTCTGTGTGTGTGTGAACAAGATCCGTGTGTTTCCAGAGCTTTGTGTGTCCAGGTTTGTGTGTCCAGAGCTCTGTTTGTCCAGGAGCTGTGTCCAGCCCCGTAAGTGTCCCCAGCTCTGTGTCCAGCCCGTGTGTGTCCCCAGCTCTGTGTCCAGTCCCTGAGTGTCCCTAGCTCTGTGTCCAGTCCCTGAGTGTCCCCAGCTCTGTGTCCAGCCCCTGTGGATGTCCCCAGCTGTGTCCAGCCCTGTGTGTGTCCCCAGCTCTGAGTCCAGTCCCTGAGTGTCCCCAGCTGTGTGTCCAGCCCTGTGAGTGTCCCCAGCTCTGTGTCCAGCCCCGAGTGTCCCCAGCTGTGTGTCCAGTCCCTGTGGGTGTCCCCAGCTCTGTGTCCGTCCCCAGCTCTGTGTCCAGCCCTGTGTGTGTCCCCAGCTCTGAGACCAGTCCCTGAGTGTCCCCAGCTCTGTGTCCAGCCCTGTGTGTGTCCCCAGCTCCGTGTCCAGTCCCTGTGAGTGTCCCCAGCTGTGTGTCCAGCCCCCAGCTCCTCCGCAGGTGCCATCCCCA